CTCGACTTCCTCGATTCAAATGAATGCCAAACACAAACAAATAGACCGATCTGGCTGTAACTTGGTGTGTGTTCCTCCAAGAGATGCTACTAACTAAATCTAACCTTGATACGCGCCAGTAGTGTCATGTCTCTGACTTTGCACGGACTTTTCAAACGACCCTCGTATATATATATATACATAAAATATTTATTATATTTTTAAATTAATTGTAATTTTGAATAATATTGTAATATTTTACTTAATACAAGTTTCTAAAAAAAAAAATAGATTAAAGAAAGGAAGAAATTTTCTTTACTAGTACATATTAAAGCACATAAATTACTAATTTATTTGAATAATAAACAAATAGTAAACTACACAATTTTATTGTTTATAATATACATTTGTAAATGTTTATACCTTATTACAAATTCTCTCACAGATATAATTAAGGATAATCATTTTTATGATGATGGTTGTAAACCAAAAATTAATACTGAGTAGATTAAGCAGTTTTTTATGCGTGAAATCAGCTATCATCATTGTGGCATAATATTCATATATAATTTGCACTATGAAAATGTGAAATGCAATTACTTGCATCACCATTTGTAATCCAAATATCATGTTTAATTTGCGTGATATCGAACATAGTTTGAGATGAATATGCCTGCGAAATGTACCTGATAAATGATATTTTAGATCATCGCATATAATGTACAGGGTGTGGCAAAATTCCCCAATTTTGAGGAGTCATTGCTCCGAGAGTAATGGGGGTACAGAGACGGAATAGTGCTCATTCGAAAGCTAGTTGAATGCAATTTTCAATAGATGCCATGAGTTGGACCGGTGAACATTGTTTTGTGTATTCCCGCCTCATCTCATCTCCTTAAGGGGGGACCACCACGATCTCTTGATTTGATCCTCTGTGATTTTTTTTCTGTGGGGGTATATTAAGGTTCACATTTACCAAACATTAGACGAACTAAAAATCGCCAAACAAAAAATCGAGGCTATTCTACCCGACATGATCTAGAAGGTAATGGAAAACTTCCGAAATCGCCTCTAACTTTGCATTAACCGCAACGGTCGATGTAATTTTTAAAATCAAAACTGCATTATATATAAGATTCAGAAATAAAAAGTTTTTTCCCTACTATTTTCCATTTTTATCCTATTGATTAACGAAATTGGGGAGTTCTTTTTACCGCACCCTGTACAATAAAATACTTTATTTACTTTATATTAGCGGAACTCTCAAACTTTTATATTATACAAAGTATTTACTACAAAAATAAATTTTATGAAACTTATAAAATATATTATGTTTTTCTAATAAATTTCTCTTTATTCAGAAAATAAATATGTTTATCTATTTGGAATAAATACAATAATTAATATTTTTTTCTATATATTAATAAATCTCTTTAAATTTTAATTTATTATTATGTATAGTTGAGAATCGCTTTAATAATCATGCTTTCTCTATTATTCTTACATTAAAATCCATATATTTTGTTTAGATAATGTTTTGGTGCCAGCTATGTGTCGGTGAGTCAAGGGCAAAGTAGAATTTGTCCATGCATATCCTACTTTCTTTTGCTCGGCTAACTTTTGAATATACTTGTTAACATGCTCAAATTGAAATCCAATGTATCTACATTAAATGTGATGCAAAATAATAAATTTATAATAATAAATTTATGAAATTACAGTAAAAAATAAATAATTTTAACTTTGTTAAACCATCTGTCCAATTTGTTACAATATAATAATTTTATTTAAAAATAATGTTATGTTGCAATATTATTTACATACCTTAGCAGCATCATGTACATAAAATCATACAGAGTGTTGATATGAGTGGGATGATTTCCAATAGGTGCACATATTGCCATTATGGAGTAAGATCTAGGAATATGTTCACGGTACCACACATAATCGTATATATCTATTAAAGATACCAAGATGATCCAGCCAGTAATCAACCATGTAGTTTGTATCCTTAATTTTGCATAATTTTTCGAAGTTCCCAACTTTTCTATTGTGTTGCTCACAATATTTAGTTCGTCCAAACAACTTTTAAATTTCTGAAAACAATATTATTAAGAGAAATATAACTATAAGTAACGGTAGAAATAATTATAATATTAAATTATAATATAATATTATTGTATATTTCTAATATTAAAAATCAAATAATATTAAAATGCAAAGAAATAGTGCAATATATTCAAATATTGAGAATATTAAAACATTTTTGTAATATCTCAATACTAATATGTCAATACTTGTAATATGTCAATACTTTTTATATTTTAAATATCTCTACATTTTTTGCATTATATTTTGTATAATTATTTAAAGTAGTGCACTATTTATTTTTGAAAGGGTTGTACTTATTATTCAAATTTATTAAAATAGATTTGCATTATTTTCTCAGATTGATTTATATGATGAAATAATTTTTGCACGTTTTCTCTTTAATATACGTGTATAAAAATGTGAAAGAGAATGAAAATAACCTTCTTGATACTTAATTCACCTTTTTGACACTTACAAGATAGACTGAATGGACTTACCTTATAATAATAGAAATTAGACAACATGTACAGTATTGCAAAAATCATATTAGTATAATGAATCGTAGTATAGGTAAGTTCGTTTTTTCGAAGAAATATTGCCATTTTGAAGGCAATGTAAGCATAAGACAGCCACGACATCAGAACGTAGAAAATAGTAAGACAAAATCTCGGTTGATTTTGAGGGTATTCAAACACTCCAAATCCACATGAGCACAATACTACCAATAGTGGTGATATAGCTGTCTGAATATCCTTCATGGCGATTTCTTAATAGGATTAACTTAAGACTTCTTACTTCGTGTTTTATATATATATATAGAATATGAAACATTTATCTTATAATAAATGTGTCGCAATAAAAATTACATTCACGTTAATACTTCACAAATGATAACTCTGTAATTTTACCAATTGCATCAGCACTTACGCAAATTAAAGAAATCGATCTGCTAGAAAAAAACTTGTTTTACAAATTAAATAAACCAAATAATTTAAATTAAAATGAAATAAGAGAAACAAAATGAAAATCAAATATATGCTACATGTTTGCATTTTTAGATATTATTTTTTCACATTTAGAACAATATAACATTCCCTTAATATTTCTTTTATGGATCTTCTCTTGTATCATGATAAAATTGAAAAATATACAAAAAATTATACAGCAATAATTCAACCATTTATATTATGTATTATTATATTATTATAAGAAAAGTTTTTAAAGACAAATTATAAAATTATATAAATTATATAACACCACGACACATATTTAAATTCAATTTTATTTAAAAATGCATACACATATTTTTTATATATATTGTTACATATATATGTACATATTGTTAGCTGTATTACAATAATATCTTGACAAAACCATTTAAAATGTATTTTAGATAATTTGTAAAAAGAGAGAAAGAAAAAATGAGATTATAATGAAAATTGAGACAAGGAATTATAAATATAAATTTATGGGACATAAATGAAAAAATTATAACTTTGCTTTATCAGCAATAATTATATTGCATTTTATGATGATATTCTTATTAGAAAATTTTAATTTGTTTATTCTTTATTAAAAATCCAGTTCCGTTTTTGTTTTGTCAAACATTTGTATAATAATAACCATAAATCCTGTAATTGTAACGACAAACTGTAAGAAAACATATAAATTAAATTTTATATCAATAAAATAGTCAATAAATATATACATATGACTATTTTAAGTACAGCTTTTCTATAACAATTTACTTCCATTGTACAAAAATAGATATAAATAACAATAAAAATATATTATAAAGATATTATAATTCATTAAGATATAAAATGTTATTAAAATATTTGGTCTTCTAATTTATGATAATGAAAGTAATGTGAAATACGAAAAAATAAATATAAATACTAACATTTCGTAAGAGACTATTGCCAAAATAGAAGAGACCCAGTCCAGTAAATTTAAGCGGATTATATATTATTTGCAATGAAAACTGATAAATCTGCATACATATTGAATTGTTACTTTTATTTACTAAAATAATTTCTTTAAATTGTTTTTTACTATTAAAATCCCTTTACCTCGTCAGTGTATTGAAGACAATTTGTCAATTGGCAAATTATTTTTTCTGTTTTGTTAGCCTAAAATTTATAATTTATTATTTGTGTATAATAAATATTATAAGCATTATAAAGTATTGAATATTATTGAATATTAAAAATATTATTTGAGTAATATTTATTGAAATATTTTAATACAGGTGTGCATATTCTTAATACGTGTATGCACATGCGTATATACATATATACATATATATGTGTATGTGTATATGCATGCGTGCGTG